AATAGATTAAATTTAGTCGAAAAAAAAAAAAAGCAGATACCTGTGCTTTAGCTTTATCGTTGCCACGAATTTCACCCATTCCATTACTGATTTCACGCCATTCATTACTGCCACGAACCCATTGATGGATACTATTCGGGTATTCATAGTTTGGATAATTCAGCAATACCGTATATTCATGCATTTTTACATTATACCCATAATTTTTATACTGAAAAAAAAAATTGGGGTAAAAAAAATACACAACTTTTTCTATAAATGATATTTTTCAATATTGTAATTCAAAAGTTGTTGTTACTCTAAAAAAAAAAAAGTACCAAACTTTTTCGGTTTGCTAATAGCTAAAAAACACTACCTTAAAAAAAGCTGATATAAAAAGTAGCCTTTTTTTGTTAGAATCTAAGATATTTATCAACAAAAATTAACCAACAAAAAAAAAATACTGCTATTAGATGGATATTTTAGTTAGTTGATACTGTTTATATCTCTTTTTTCATCTCTCTTAATAAAAGTTTAATTTCTGTAATATTAACAATTGAAAATTTTTGCTAAACAATATTTTTTTACTCATATAAAGTACAAATAAAAAGAATAGATCACTGGATCCAAAAAAAGAATCTTTTGGAAATAGTTTTAGTCAAATGTGTACTTACATTGTGGTTTGAATATATGTTTACAAAAAAATTTGGTCTCAAATTACTGAACTCTAATATTTGGTTCTTTTTCTTTTTCAGCATTGAAAAAGAATCAGTTCTGTAATATCCATTTTTTATTTGTCTAAGATTATCAACAAATTATTGATAAAAGATATGGAAGAAAAAAAAAAGCAGAAATACAAAAAAGGTGAAGAACAGAATTGAAACAATTTATAAAAAGTAAATTATTGTAATAATTTATTTATTTTCTTTTTTTTTAATACTTACCCGGCGAAAAATTTGATTCATAATTTCTGTATTTTCAACAGTTCCGGCAACGTGAACATTGCTGGCCAACCAACGAATATTTTCACGAATATTTTCTGGTTCAAAACTGTTTAGCAGTAAATTACTGATAAATTTTTGCTGAAAAAAAAAACAAAAAAATTAAAACAGAAAACAATTAAATTCAAATTTTCTATTTAAACAAAAAGCTTTTTAAATACTCTTTTAGCAAAATTTGTTCTTTTTCTACCATAAAACGTTTAACAATAGAAAAATTTTTTCACTGATGTTTACGGTGGTGATATCCTTCTTTAAAAGTACAACTTTATTTCAGTATTTTTACTTCTAATCAGTGGTGTACAGTATTCGTCAACAAAATTTTGCAATATAAAATAAATAAGCAAAAAAATAAGCAAATAAATAAATAAATGAATAAAATTGATCTAATAAACTTTTAATGCACTTTGAACAGTTTGAACAATTCCAACAACATTTCTGTCATTTATCTATTTTCAGCTTGTTGAATACTAAAAAAAAAAGGCTAACAAAAACAGAAACTGCTATTTGCTTATAAAAATTTTTGGAAGCATTTCTTCTTTTTTTTTTCCTTGAAAATTGCTTATTTTTCTCATCTTTCTTTCAATTTTTTCTTTCGCTTTTTTTTT